AGAACTGCCAGGAGTAATTTCTGAGTGCAGAGCCAGGAGCACCACCAGTGTGACCCCAAAAGCAAAATAAATAAGTAATAAATAAATAAAAATTTTAAAAATTACTATTTCAATATTTTAAAGTTTATTCTCTTTAGGGTTGGTTTTCAAGGCAGTTTTATTTTTTTTTAATTTTTATTAGTGAAACCTTATGAGGTACAGTTGCAGACTTACAAATTTTTGTGCTTGGGTTTCAATTATACAATAATAGAGTACCCATCCCTCCACCAGTGCCCATTTTCCACCACCACAGATCCCAGTATCCCTCCCACCCCCCATCCCCCCACCCCACCCTGACTCTATGGCAGGGCACTCCCTTTTGTTCTCTCTCTCTTCAAGGCAGTTTTAAGTTAAGCTCTAAAATACCTATCATTTTATTGCTTTACTGATTTTACTTTAAAGTTTGTAAATAATATGAAAATACATTTGAAAAGAAATTTTAAATTCTTACTCTTTCCCTAAACTAAATAACCTCTATGGTATGAATCTTCACGCACTACTGTCAATATACATTTTCACTGCCCTTTTTCAGTGTCTCTCCAGTTGCAGTATGAGTTGTGGAGAAAATAACTGAACATTATCAATTTAGAGTATTTAGTCCAATTCAACGCTCTAAAGAGAACAATGACTACGAAAAAAAAATTTTAAGAAAAATAATACTCTAGAACCTCACGTTCATTTTTAAAAATTTAACATTTTCATTTTTAAAAGTACAAAACTGTTGATGCATATTTGAACTGTAAAATAAGATTTGATTCTAAATACTCTTATCTAGAACTTGTATGATTTAACTTTTAAGCATTATTAAACTTCATGTTTCTACTGGACCACTGATGGAAATTTTCTATCTGCAGATAATTTCAAAAATTGTTATGATAAAACAAAGTTTATACATGCCTATTGGTAGGGCCAGAGAGGTAGTATAGCAAGTAGGGCACCTGCTTTACATGCAGCAGGTATAGGTCAACTTCCAGTACTAAGCATCATCTCCCAATCTGCCAGGAGTGACTTCTGAGTATAGAGCCAAGAGTGGTCATCCTGAGCACTGCCAGATGTGGTACGTAAATACAACAACGGGGATGGAGCAATAGTACAGCGAGCAGGGCACTTGCCTTGCACAAGGCCAACCCAGGCTCAATTCCCAGCATCCTATATGGTTCCCCAAGCACTGCCAAGAGTAATTCCTGAGTGCAAAGCCAGGAATAACCCCTGTGCATCGCCAGGTGTGACCCAAAAAGCAAATAAATAAATAAATAAAAACACACAAATACAACATACATATATATGCACACACATACGTGTGTATTTGTTGTTGCTGTTTGGATACACATTTATAAATACATACACGCACGCGCGCGTACGCACACACATACACACAAAACAGAGGGATAGTACAGCAGGCAGGGTGCTTGTCTTGCATGCAGTCAACTTGGTTTTTATCCCTGGCTCCCAAAATAGTAGCCCCAAAATAGTCCTCCAAGCCTGCCAAGAGTGATCTCTGAGCACAAAGTCAAGAGTAACCTTGAGTACTGCAAGGTTTAGCCAAAAAATTTACCACACTCTTCTCTCTCTATTCTTCCCTCCCTCCCCCTCCCTACGCCCCCTTCGCCAAAAATCTAACATTCTCAAAGGTCTATACACAAAAGTAACTTAAAAAAAATTCTCTTCAAATTCACTATAATAGGGGCTCAGGAGATTCTCAAGGATCAGGAATGTATTCCTCACATGTACAAAGACCTAAGTTAGATCCCTGCCACCTCATGCCCCCTAAGTACTGGAGCTCTGGAAGCATGTACTAGACCTCTGTAAGTAGGATCTAACATAGAATTTTCTAGCCCAGTTGGCTGAATATTACCAAGAGTTATGCTCCAGAACCCTGAGCATAAGCCAAAACTCTCATCCCTCAAAAAATAACCCAACAATGTAAGCAACTGCAACCCAGATTTGAGAATATGAATACTATTTTAAATTCTATTTAAATTATGATGCTTATTAGGGCTGGAGCGATAGCACAGTGGGTAGGGCGTTTGCCTTGCACGCAGCCAACCCGGGTTCAATTCCTCTATCCCTCTCAGAGAGCCCGGCAAGCTACTGAGAGTATCCCACCCGCATAGTGGAGCCTGGCAAGCTCCCCGTGGCGTATATGCCAAAAATAGTTTAACAGCAAGTCTCACAATGGAGACATTACTGGTGGTTGCTCGAGCAAATCAATGAATAACAGGAAGACAGTACTACCAATACAGTGATGCTTATTAATATATAACTTTATGACCAAGACATGGTATGGCCAATGAACAGTTTAATTCTTTTGAGTTTTCCTATCTTATGCTTCAAATGATAATTATTTCAATTGAACCTGGTAAAAATTGTGTATTTCGTGCATTATGTTTATTGGCTAAATAGGAACAGAAGCAAAGGAAAATGCTAATTCTTGTTTCTAAATTCACAATGCCAATGGAAAAAGAGTGCATAACTTGACCTTTCTTGTGGAATACAAGAACAAAAGGAAATATACCTTCCTACTCTATAATCCTTGCAAGCAGTATGGAGCAATGACTCTCAAGTCCTATCTTCTGATGAACTACACTACTAATTAAACAGAGTAGATCTGTTGTGCAGACCGTAACATTTCTTGAGGTACCTCCTGAAAAAATCTGCTTAGAAAATGTAATTCAAAAATAACTGGTAGAGGAAAAGAGAACATTCAAAGCAAGAGTTACCAGATTTGGGTTACATGCTTGATTTTCCACCTGCATGCTACATGGACAGCCTCAATCACATTGTTTGCACTTCTCAGTTTCCATTTCCCTGTTCCATAATATGGAAACAACCCTTACACTTTATGTAACTGATCCGCTGGGAGAAATTAAATAAGATACTACACAAAATATTATCTAAATTATGACCTAAAGTATAATTCCTTTCCTACTTCTATGCAATATGTGAGAACATTTTTCCCTACTACTACCTTCCCCAAGACAATTTTTATATTTAAAATATAAAAAAGGATTTCATACTATACAAATTAAAGAAGATTAAAAGGGCAAGGTAAATGGAGAACAGTAAAGATGGACACTGTAACAATAGTGCACCATGTTTCTTGGGATAATTCATGATAATCTCACGTCCACTGCTTTTCTAAGTGAGCAACTCCACTGACACATCTACTAGTTTTTATTTTGTTTAAAAGCGCCTCCAAACAATTCTAACACATATGCATTTATAAGCATTTTCAAAAGACATATACTCTATTTTCCAGGTCCATACATGCTTTCGTATTATACATGCTATCCAAGTCCACATTAGATGTTTTCAATCAGAAACACTGAGTGATTAGGAAGAGAAATGTCAGAGTCACCTGATACAGATAAGGCCAATGGATTGAGAAACATGACAAAATTAAATTTGAATATACTATCTTTGAGAAAGTGTCATTCCTCCTGGGGAGAGGAGGAAGACCACACTGAGCAGTTCTCAGGGATCACTCCTGGCTTTGTGCTTGAGGCTCACTCCTGATGGGCTGGAGGAAAAGAACGTGGGAGGGGTGGGAATTCTCTGGGATACTGGGGATTGAACCCGGTGGACCACAAACAAGGCCTGAGCCTTATCCACTGTACTATCTCTCCAGCTTCAGTGATAAAGATTATTATGGCTTTTAAATTATAACTCCCAGAACAATTCTCTTTTAACTCATATTGCCATGGTCCTAACCACAAAACTATTCGACCACTTTCTTGCAGTCACAGATCCATAATAAAATTTTGGAAATATAAAGGATCATTTTTGTTATGTCCTGTAAAGGAATTTTATAAAACCACAGGCTTGAGATGGAAGATATACCTCCAGCATATTTCTCTTGAATAGTGACTGAGTCTCTACACCAGTGGACAGGGCATCTACTTCCCACAGAAAATAAAGAAGTTTTAAAATAGCTATGTTTTACCCTCTTGAATGGACAAGTAACTGCATCTCAACTATGCAGAAAGAAGTAACTGAAGTGCAAACATCTCATAAGTTGATCACGGTAAACAGGGTACATGTATTTTGACTCTAAGCCTATGGCTCTGATCCCTTCAGGCCTTCAATCCAGCCCTACCCTCCTCTTTTCACTTTTCTGAAAGTCAATGGGAAGTCTCACTTTACAGTTCTGTTGTAGTAGAAGCTCACACATCTAACTGGTGCCCATTCCTGAATAAGAAATCCATTACTGGGTAGAAGAATTATGACATCAGCAGTATGCTAAAAAATTATTCTACAATTAATTATGTCCACTGATTCCCTAACACGGGTTCTCATGTCACTGGCTGGATTTCATTAAGATTAGCTAGATATTTTAACTATCTTCTATATTAATTTATTATCATAAATGTACTGATTAAGAACTTGTGTCATAAAATATTTTATAGAGTATAAAATATTCATGAACACGCCTTTGTTACGTATACCTAGTTTACTATACTTCAGAATGCCAAACTCATGCATCATGCAGAGTAATCCATGAGTACATAATAAATGGACAGGAAAAGACAGCATTGGTGTCTTATAAGTATGTCATTTTTAAACTACTTTTGTGTTGTACAAAGTGAAATTTCACATTAGTAAGAGTTTCAATGCTGTTTCTTATTATTTCCTTACATACTTTGTACCAGCCATTACTTTTCAAGAAGCATGCCTTTAAACTTACCTGGGGCAGTTTGGGGAAAAGGATAGGAAGGAGAAAAGTTTTCTAAGAAGCAACAAAAAGATAAACTACTACAAACATTTTAAGATATTAATTGTAACCACAATCTGAAGAACTTTATCTTACTGTTTTGAGTATATAAGAGAAAAATCTCATTATTTTACATATAAACTACTGAAAAAATGTGGACAAGAAGAGATACCATATTTGACATTAAAATACTGTTCTGTACACATAGTAAATATAGTTCATCATTTATAGATAATATGTGATCAATTACCTCATATTCTTTCCATGAGTCAAAATCAATGTATTCTCTACCATAAAATGCCAGAATGACCAAGTGGCCTAAAATATTAAAAGCAAGAAGAATTAAATTAACATAAAAATAAATAATCTGATATCTAGAAACTGTTATTATTTCAAATTAATGCACTTTAATATTAATTTTCATACATAATCTTTAAAAATTCTTTATAACTACATTTTCCTTTCACTTAGCCATGGAAGATATTGCTTTGGTTTTACAAAAAAGACAACATACATTTTTCAAAACAATTAGACTTAAAGAATAAATACTATTCTAATAATTAGGAAATACATATATGAGGGAAAATAAAATGAATTATTTTTGAAATAATGTGTACTTTTTTATTGTGAAAACTAGGAAATGACACAATTCTACATTTGAACATCAGCAAACTGATTTCTTAAATACAAAGAAAACTGAGCACAGATGTAACTCAGTGATAGAGGGGCATGTCTTGCACGCATGAGGTTTAGGTTTGTTCTGAAGTACCACAGGACATATATACATACATACAGACAGACAGACAGACAGACAGAGCTTATGGCAAAAGTGAGAGTGTTTTAGCAGGCGACATAGCTCTGGTCATCCCTTAAACATAATTAAACAAAGGACCAGAGAAACAGTAAAGAAGGTAAAGCATTTGCCTTGCATGTGGTTGACCCCCAATAGTTCCCTGATACCACATTTGGACCCCAAGCACCACCAGGAGTGACCTCACCACAGAGTCAGGAACAGTCGCTGAGCAGTACTGGGTGTGGTCCAAAAGAGGAAACAAAAATAACTAATAACAATAATTAACAATTAAAAAAAAGAATCCAATGCATAAGCCTGTTTCACAAGCTGAGGAAATTAACATGACACAAATGCATTTCCAGCTGTATAGAAATTTTCAAAAGTAGTAATTCGGTTTGGGGAGAACAGGCAAGATTACTTTGTTCTGGAGAGGGGGAAACTTGTTGTAAGGATGAAACCGGGAGACAGACTTACACAAACAGAGCATGTGCCGTATCAAAGTTATTTGATTCGGGCAATATCACTTTAATAACTTTTACTGGATGATAAGGTAAATTTACAGTAACAACGACACAAAAATACATTGAAATGTATTCATTTATGTATACTCATGCCTTTCGAAATTCAGAGTACAAAGGATATTTGAATCAGCTACAAACAGCAACATAGCTGCCCAGCATGATTTACTTTTGTTTGCTTTCTTTTTTTTCTTTAAAAGTAAAGACTGCATTAAGTGACAGTTGCCATAAATTTTTATGTTGGTCCATTAAACTTGGAGAAGAAACAAAGCAAACAGGCACAGCTGAGTATATATGAACAGGTAACAGTCTAAACACACGTATTTGGGGTTACCTGAACAAGACAAGACAAGACATCACTAAAATAATCACAGGTGCCTGCTGTGTATTTAGGCAATTAGAAGCCAAATGCAGCCAAAACGCAACAATCCATACCAGAATTAACACGAGAATTCTAAGAAAGAACTTGGCATTTTTAACCCCACTGTCAGACAGTGTTACTTTATTATAAATCTAAAATATATTTTCTGAAAAATAAATTTTCTGAAAGTTTTATCAAACATATTTACTACAAAGTAAAAAATGCTTTATAATAATCGAGCAAAACAAGTGTTATACATACCTACAATTATTATAATTTTTACCACCCTAACTGGTTAAGTCTTTTCCCCAACTACCCTCCTCTTATACCTAATGTCAGTGAGTAACTAGAAAATCTGGGGCTGGAGAGAGAATACAGCGGAATAAGGAGTCTGCCTTGCATGTGGCCAATCCAGATTCAATCCTCAGCATTCCATACGGTCCCCTGAGTACTGCTAGGGGTCCTTCCTCAGAGCAGAGCAAGGAATAACCCATGAGCACTGCCAGATGTGGCCAAAGAAAAGAAGAAAAGAAAAAACAAATTACAAAATTCAAGTCAATCCACAGTTACACTTTATCTACTCCTTTTCAACAATAAAAATCTCCTCTTCGGGCACATTTTCATCATCTTGTACTGATACTAACAAAATTGCTCAGGATCATTTACTTCCTGAATTGCAAACTCCAAGTCACCCTACTGGAACATTCGTGATACAAATTTGCCTTTGTCACTTATCATTTTTACCTTAAAATTCAATTTGTCTTTTAGAGTTACTTCTCAAAATCTACTTTTTCTTTAAATTGAGACCATTTAAAATGACATTCTATTCATTTAAAGAAGATTTTGCTTTGTTCATTGTTGGTTTGGGAGCCATACCTATCAATGCGCCAAGGCTACTCCAAAGTCTGTTCTGCATGGAGATATTCTCCACGGTGAAGCATCAGTTACAAATAGTAAAAATGGCACTGAACTGGTGGAGGCACGGGTACTCGATCATTTTATGACTAAACGTAATCACGAAAGTTTGTAAATCTAACTGTATACCACGATGAGAAAAATCTAACTGTATACCACGATGAGAAAAATCTAACTGTATACCACGATGAGAAAAATCTAACTGTATACCACGATGAGAAAAAGGGAAAAAAAAGAGAAAAAAATCACACTCACAAGTAACTTGCACATTATGATGCCAATCCCTTCCTCAAAGATGTACAAAGGTCCCACAAGAACTCTATTCCTCATTCTATGTTCTATATACTTCTCATTTCTGACATGCCTATACAAATGTCTTCATCTTAACCTTCAACATTTATTGAAGCAATCTCCTGTGCTCACCAATATGCTGGAATTAGGTGTGCAGTAATGAATGGTAAGCAAAACATTATTGTTATGCACTCATATCTAACCTTGCTACTTTCAAATACTGTCCTTTCTCAGTGGCCTTATAATTCTACCAGAAGCCATCATTCACCTTCTTCATGCTCATCCACTCATTACTCCACTCTTGGTAGCAAACAAGTCCTGCTGATTCACCATCCATAATCATATGATCCCTACCACCATGACCCTGACACCCAGGCCAAAAGGGTATTTCCACGGGTCTTCCACATTAGAGAGCCTGCTTTGCCATCTGGCGAGTGAAGCACTTCCAACCCAGAGCTACGATCTTTAATGTGTCTGGAATCATAAGGCAATGGATCCTCAAGACCCAAATTACCTGGCAGAGACTTTGACCATCAGCCCAGGGCAGATGATAATTGAGGCATACCCACATCTAGGCCCAACGTGTAGTTACTAGAGTGCTTGCAAGTGGCAAGAGACAGGTTGCTTTAGGAGTAGGTACACAATCATGCTATGGTAAAGAGTCTAAGATATAGAACCAACAAAGTAGACAGCTGGAAGGAATAAGATTCCAAGAGTCAATCTTCTTCTTCAATTAAGTTCTACAACAGAACTCATGACAAATCTGAGAATTCTATGTTTATCCATCTCATTATGAAGTCCATTAGATCAAACAAAGAGGTAGCAGCACATTTTATTGAAGTTACAAGATTTACAACATTTAAGTTTGTGGAATTATAGTAGAGTTTCTGTTTTCTTTCAACCATTATGCCAAAGGAAAGACCCGATTTCCACAACAGTTTTCCACAAATAACTCCCCTTCTCCAATATTCATTAGAACTCCTTAAACAATAATTATAATAGTAGTAGTCACAGCAGTAGAAGTAGTAGTAATGAGAGTAACATAGATAACATTTCACACCAAGGGTATTGACAGAAACTAATCTATGCTAGGCACTTTTTATACCCTTATAAAAATGTATAGATATCTATATCTTGACCCATAAAGTAAAAGTAATAGAATGGCAGAACAAGGTTTCTAACCAGGTTCCTCAGCATTAAAAGCCCATACTCTTCACCCTAGCATTGCTTTCAGAAGATTCAAGAGAGGGCTTACCTGTCCTGAGACACATTCCCTGCCAAAGTACACTGTGATCATACTTCCCAGAAAGACCACTTTTATCATAAATCTGATCCACTTTGAAACATACACATTGGTTGGTTTTGCACTATCAGTTCCACATCCTTAACCTGGTTTCATTCCCACTCCATCTGCTTCATTATTTTCTTAAAAACTTGTCAAAATCTTCATACTAAAATAAAACAGCATCCACTCACAGCATGTGCTACTTTCCCAATACACCTCCCAAACAACCTTTAAGATCCTTCACCCATATTAGCTTCTTCTGTAGACTTCTCTAACCACGTAAGCCAGAATCTATGTGTGTGTGTGTGTGTGTGTGTGTGTCTGGGGTGTCTGTGTGTACACATACAAAATCTTCCAACAATTCAAGTACTCAATAACTACTCAAAGTACTGATAATGAAGGAATAAAACTAACTGTAAAAATCTTATTTGGGGGAGAAAAAGTTCTATGCAGAGAAAATTTATGAAGCTAATGTGTTGGCACTGAACTGAATATCAAGTATTAAAGGTACAATTATGGTCTACATGTTCATAAGCTGCAATACACTACAAATAGCCAATTAATGTTTTTAAGTGGCTCCAATCCGAATAAACGTGTGTTTTTAATTAACCTAAAATTTTTGCAATGTTTTGGGCAATTTATTAAACTGATTTGATTAAACAGTTTGTCAGTTTCTCATGTAAATATGTAACCAAAATTGAAATAAAAATTTTGTAATTTAGTATTTGAAGGGGCTGGAGCGATAGCACAGCGGGTAGGGGATTTGCCTGGCACACAGCCAACACGGCTGACCCGAGTTTGATTCCTCCGCCCCTCTAGGAGGGCCCAGAAAGCTACCGAGAGTATCTCCCACATGGCAAAGCCTAGCAAGCTAGCTATGGCACATTCGATATGCCAAACACAGTACGAAGTCTCACAATGTTACTGGGCCCACTCTAGCAAAATTGGTGAGCAACAGGAGGACAGAGACGGTGACAGTATTTGAAGAGTTACTGGTAACAATTTATCTGAAAAACTGGCTACATTTAATGCTAGTTTCCTTTAGCTCAATATATCACTTTAATCTCGCATTCTCCTCAAACAGGATATCAGGGAAATGTTAAGCATATCCTCTACCTCTTTCTTTCCTTAAATTTAGTCTCAAACTACCTTCTT